AATCCAGTACTGGGTCTTTACAGAAGGACTTAAACTTCCAGATGACCAGGACATCTTGTTGGTTCGCTGAAGTTGAGTAGTCACAGCGCAGGATCACAGAAGCAAACAGAGTTGTGCTCCGCTCCCTCTGTGGAACATTCACCTGGATGGACAGCAGCTCTGATCCGAGCAGACACAATAATAATGAGATAAAATGTAAAATAGCAGCACACATGACACAGTATTCATAATACTGTAACTGTAGACAGAAAAACCTTGTTTGTTTGTGTGACAGCTTCGCCTTCACATGCTTGAGTGATAAGAATCTGACCAGCCTGGTTGACAGTTTGCACATATTGTACCATATCATTAGAAGTAATCATTCAATCATGATGAACAATGTAGGGTTAGATAAATCAAGTGGATAACAGGCAACCATTGCTAATTGAGAAAAGTAGCAGTTTAAAGTCGAAGTTTAAAAACTTTCTCTTTAAAATCGTGATACAAAACCCTGATAAAAATGCATGTTTGTCAGTAAAAGTCTATAAACAACACGTTTTATTTGACCAACAGTCTATAGTCAGAGAAGACATACAATACTGTATATGGCTAATATGAACCATGTTGTCCAAAACAACACAGACTGAAATCTCAAGGACAAATTTGAGGTACATTTTATGCAACTTTATACTTCTACTCCACTAGAATTCAGAGGGAAATATTTTACTTTTTATTTTACCATGTTACTTTACTGCCTTCAGCTGTTTTGAATACAAAGCATATGAATAGCTTAGAAAATGTGATGCACTGTTATAGATTCAACTAATCATTAAGTCATTTTTTTTCATGCAGAAATGCCATTTAATAGTTCAATCTTCTCAAAAGTGGGGGTTTGCTTCTATTTCTTGTTGTGTATTACAGTACAATTAATCATTTTGAGGTTTGAAAAATAAGCATTGTGAAGGTGTCACTTTGGGCTCTGGGTAATTGTTACTGCATTTCTCAGTTTTACAAACCAGATCACCAGGGCCATTTTTCTGCTTATAGGTTTAAGACTTTTACTTCCAGTAGCCTGTTTTTACAGTGTGGCATTATACTTTTATTTATCTGGATATTTCCAGCACCACTGGAAAAATAAACCATAGTTATGTTAGACAACAGTCTAAAACCTTAAGATATTTAATCATAGAGCTGCAATGATTAGTAGCCTAAATTAGTCAACCAACAGAAAAATTAATCTGCAACTATTCTGATAATCCATTAATCATTGCAGATTTCCCTTGTCTTACATTGTAGTAAACTGATTATCTTTGGGTTAACATGTAAGGACGTCACCCTGGGCGCTTGGGAACTGTGACTTTGTTTTTGTTTTTTTGATTGTTTACAGGCCACATGGCCTGATTAATCCAGAAATTAATCCGCAGATCAAATAATAATAAAAACAATCGTAGTTGCAGCCCTATTTAATATACTAAAATATAAAAACAGAAAAATACAGCAAATTTGAGAGGGTGGAACTGGAGTTTTTTAAAATTATTATTAAGCTATTTTTTTTTTTTTTTTTACATTTTTGCTCGTTAAAGGACCTTAAAGTTTTGTTATTTATAGCCTATAAATGAATTATTAACTTTTCGTCTATAACTGACTAATGATTTAAACTGAACAACAGATTAACCGATAATGAAAACATTCTTATTTTCATTTCTCCGACGATAAAGAATCCGATTCGTCTGCAAAACGACGCAGTTTCACTGAATTGTTTGGTTTTTGACAACAAGAGGGGAAATCACCTGCAGTCACGTGACACCAGTCGGCCTTGTCCTGTTTACACCTGTCGATGATTAACTAACACTTGTTTGTTTAAGTGGCTTCACTATAAATTCCTGTATAAAAACGGAAATAACAGATGACACATATATATAGACCAAGCTTGTGTGTTTTCTAATACGCATTTAAAGCCTCACCTGTCGGCAGGTAAACCAGCAGAAGCGCCATCAGTATCATATTTCCCATCTCGCTGCACTTTATTCTTCCGCGGAAGCTTCGCTCTCTATCCTGTAGGCGATTCAAAACCCACCACAAATCCTGAATATTTGGAGAAAAACGTAACGTCGCCGCTGCTCTGCATAGTAACTCCACTTTTTAAGACTTAGACGGCATGTGCGTCAGGCTGTAAGGGAAAAGACGAGCATTTACAGCTAGACATAATGAAGAACACCCTTTCCACAGGGACTCGGGTGTCGGAAGCGGATCGCCCCCCTCCCCCCTCCTGCTTTAGGTAACATCAGTGACCACGCCCCCTCGGACAGGCGCGACATGTAGGAAGAAAAGAGGAGGACCAGCATCAAGGTGATTCTCTTATTGTCAATTCATTACTAAACTGTCGTTTCTAAACTGATTTTTCTCAATATGCTCAAGTAGTAGGCCTATACTTATACTTAAATTGAGTATTTCCATTTTCTGCTACTTTACACTTTGCCTATATATCAATATAAATAATAAAAGTTGTATTTTGTATACTATACTATACAAATTTATATACTCTGTTCTGGCTCTGAAGATAACACAGTATCTTGCCAATATCTTGCAGAGTTTCAAACAAGTGTTAAACAATGTCCAGAACGTAACCAAGGCATGAGTCGAAGAAGCAGCCCCCACCCCAACAAGATAAACAATAAGAACAAACATTATTTATTAACCGTTAAAATGCCTATAGCTTTTGTTTTACTGACATGAAGATCTACATACAGTTTCAAAATATTTCCACACTGTAATAAAATTCAGGTGAGGAAATACTGAATACTTTGTTTATTAATTAATTTTCCAAAGCTGGTAAAAATTCTATATATTGAGTCAAATACATATACAAGAATCAGCCTGTATGTCAGTCTAGTATATACCCTATTTCCACATATCTCACTCCAAGATTGTAATAAAAGTGACACATTTGTCTGTGTATTAATAATGAGGAGACAAGGATAACTTTAAGCTAAACACTGACTGGTGAGAGAATCAGTCAGGTAATCTAAGGGCACAGATGAATATGTTGAACATACAAATGAGTCATTTCATTTATAAAAACATAATTTTATTTCTTTCCACAGAAAGCACTCATTTCCTTTATCCTGTCTATTCTTTGATAGTTTTAATGATATATGGCAAGGAGGAGCTACATTAAAGACAGCTTCATTAGCAGCTAATTATTTATTAATAATTGTTCTGTTCTCTGCTGTGTTTTGGTGAGTCTATTCAAATGCTGTTTATATGGCAGATAAATGAATTATGTAAATGTTAACATGCTGTCCATCAATCTTAAGGCTTCCCTGGCCTCAGTAGTGTGAAAGATAACAGTTAAATTAAAAGAAGAGGCATAATCTGAATAAATAAAGTGAAAAAGAAGCTGGTCAGCTCGACAGTCACGACAGTTTTCATTTATTGGTTCATTCAGCAGCCTGAGTGTAAAGTTCACTCTCGGGATGAGTCATATCAGATGGGGGTTGGAGCTCACAATGTTTACTTTATTCTTATCCAGGACATGGTACCCAGCAAGCTTTGCTGTTGACACAAAACAAGCCCGTCTGAGCTGAACTCAAGTGCTGCTCTCAGCTCACTGAAGTGTGCTTGAAATCCTGTGAAAAATGCTGTGTGGATGAAAGGCTTTGCCATCACATCTGTGTCTACACCCACTCTGAACTTCAAAACATTCCAGTTTTTAAATTCCTTCCTTGTCAGTATCTGGAGAGGACACAAACTGCCTTTCATTCTCTGTGTCTTTGTATCAACTCTGTACAAAACATTTACACTGTAAATTCTGGTTGTGTTGTAAATTGTTACCAAATGTTCTCTGTGTGAGCGTTAGCAGTTCTTATTAGAAAGCCAATCAAATTGACCACAAAGAGTCGCAAAACGACCACAAAGAGTCACAAAATAACCACAAAGAATCACAAAACAACCACAAAGAGTCGCAAAACAACCACAAAGAGTCGCAAAATGACCACAAAGAGTTACAAAACGACCACATTCACAAAACAACCACATAGAGTCGCAAAACAACCACAAAGAGTTACAAAACGAACACATTCACAAAACAACCACATAGAGTCGCAAAACAACCACATAGTCGCAAAACAACCACAAGGAGTCGCAAAATGACTACAAAGAGTTACAAAACGAACACATTCACAAAACAACCACATAGAGTTGCAAAACAACCACAAAGAGTCGCAAAATGACCACAAAGAGTTACAAAACGACCACATTCACAAAACAGCCACAAAGAGCTGAAAAATGACCACAAAGAGTCGCAAAACAACCACAAAGAGTCACAAAACGACCACAGTCACAAAACAACCACAATGAGTTGCAAAACGACCACAAAGAGTCGCAAAACAACCACAGTCACAACGACCACAAAGAGTCGCAAAACAACCACAAAGAGTTGCAAAACGACCACAAAGAGTTGCAAAACAACCACAAAAAAGTTGCAAAACGACCACAGTCACAAAACAACCACAAAAAGTCGCAAAACGACCACAGTCACAAAACAACCACAATGAGTTGCAAAACGACCACAAAGAGTCGCAAAATGACCACAGTCACAAAACCACCACAAAGAGTCGCAAAACAACCACAGAGACACAAAACAACCACAGAGACACAAAACAACCACAGAGTCGAAAAACAACCACAGAGTCGAAAAACAACCACAAAGAGTTGCAAAACAACCACAAAGAGTTGCAAAACAACCACAAAGAGTCGCAAAACAACCACAAAGAGTTGCAAAACAACCACAGAGACACAAAAAAACCACAGAGACACAAAACAACCACAGAGTCACAAAACAACCACAGAGTCGAAAAACAACCACAAAGAGTCGCAAAACAACCACAAAGAGTTGCAAAACAACCACAGAGACACAAAACAACCACAGAGACACAAAACAACCACAAAGAGTCGCAAAACGACCACAAGAGTCGCAAAACGACCACAAGAGTCGAAAAACAACCAAAAAGAGACACAAAACAACCACGAGTTGCAAAACGACCACAAAGAGTCGCAAAACAACCACAAAAAGTTGCAAAACGACCACAAACAGTCACAAAACAACCACAAAAAGTTGCAAAACGACCACAGTCACAAAACAACCACAAAAAGTTGCAAAACGACCACAGTCACAAAACAACCACAAAAAGTCGCAAAACGACCACAAACAGTCACAAAACAACCACAAAGAGTTACAAAACGACCACATTCACAAAACAGCCACAAAGAGCTGAAAAATGACCACAAAGAGTCGCAAAACAACCACAAAGAGTCACAAAACGACCACAGTCACAAAACAACCACAATGAGTTGCAAAACGACCACAAAGAGTCGCAAAACAACCACAGTCACAACGACCACAAAGAGTCGCAAAACAACCACAAAGAGTTGCAAAACGACCACAAAGAGTTGCAAAACAACCACAAAAAAGTTGCAAAACGACCACAGTCACAAAACAACCACAAAAAGTCGCAAAACGACCACAGTCACAAAACAACCACAATGAGTTGCAAAACGACCACAAAGAGTCGCAAAATGACCACAGTCACAAAACCACCACAAAGAGTCGCAAAACAACCACAGAGACACAAAACAACCACAGAGACACAAAACAACCACAGAGTCGAAAAACAACCACAGAGTCGAAAAACAACCACAAAGAGTTGCAAAACAACCACAAAGAGTTGCAAAACAACCACAAAGAGTCGCAAAACAACCACAAAGAGTTGCAAAACAACCACAGAGACACAAAAAAACCACAGAGACAAAAAACAACCACAGAGTCACAAAACAACCACAAAGAGTCGCAAAACAACCACAAAGAGTTGCAAAACAACCACAGAGACACAAAAAAACCACAGAGACACAAAACAACCACAGAGTCACAAAACAACCACAGAGTCGAAAAACAACCACAAAGAGTCGCAAAACAACCACAAAGAGTTGCAAAACAACCACAGAGACACAAAACAACCACAGAGACACAAAACAACCACAAAGAGTCGCAAAACGACCACAAGAGTCGCAAAACGACCACAAGAGTCGAAAAACAACCAAAAAGAGACACAAAACGACCACAAGAGTCGAAAAACAACCAAAAAGAGACACAAAACAACCACGAGTTGCAAAACGACCACAAAGAGTCGCAAAACAACCACAAAAAGTTGCAAAACGACCACAGTCACAAAACAACCACAAAGAGTTGCAAAACAACCACAAAGAGTCGCAAAACAACCACAAAGAGTCGCAAAACAACCACAAAGAGTCGCAAAACAACCACAAAGAGTCGCAAAACAACCACAAAGAGTCGCAAAACAACCACAAAAAGTCGCAAAACGACCACAGTCACAAAACAACCACAATGAGTTGCAAAACGACCACAAAGAGTCGCAAAATGACCACAGTCACAAAACCACCACAAAGAGTCGCAAAACAACCACAGAGACACAAAACAACCACAGAGACACAAAACAACCACAGAGTCGAAAAACAACCACAGAGTCGAAAAACAACCACAAAGAGTTGCAAAACAACCACAAAGAGTTGCAAAACAACCACAAAGAGTCGCAAAACAACCACAAAGAGTTGCAAAACAACCACAGAGACACAAAAAAACCACAGAGACACAAAACAACCACAGAGTCACAAAACAACCACAGAGTCGAAAAACAACCACAAAGAGTCGCAAAACAACCACAAAGAGTTGCAAAACAACCACAGAGACACAAAACAACCACAGAGACACAAAACAACCACAAAGAGTCGCAAAACGACCACAAGAGTCGCAAAACGACCACAAGAGTCGAAAAACAACCAAAAAGAGACACAAAACAACCACGAGTTGCAAAACGACCACAAAGAGTCGCAAAACAACCACAAAAAGTTGCAAAACGACCACAGTCACAAAACAACCACAAAAAGTCGCAAAACGACCACAAACAGTCACAAAACAACCACAAAAAGTTGCAAAACGACCACAGTCACAAAACAACCACAAAAAGTTGCAAAACGACCACAGTCACAAAACAACCACAAAAAGTCGCAAAACGACCACAAACAGTCACAAAACAACCACAAAAAGTTGCAAAACGACCACAGTCACAAAACAACCACAGTCACAAAACAACCACGAGTTGCAAAACGACCACAAAGAGTCGCAAAACAACCACAAAAAGTTGCAAAACGACCACAGTCACAAAACAACCACAAAAAGTCGCAAAACAACCACAAAGAGTCACAAAACAACCAAAAAGAGACACAAAACAACCACAGACTCGAAAAACAACCACAAAGAGTCGCTAAACGACCACAGTCACAAAACGATCACAAAGAGTCACAAAACGACCACATAGTTGCAAAACGACCACAAAGAGTTGCAAAACAACCAAAAAGAGACACAAAACAACCACAGAGTCGAAAAACAACCACAAAGAGTCGCTAAACGACCACAGTCACAAAACGATCACAAAGAGTCACAAAATGATCACAAAGAGTCACAAAATGATCACAAAGAGTCACAAAACGACCACATAGTTGCAAAACGACCACAAAGAGTCGCAAAACAACCAAAAAAAGACACAAAACAACCACAGAATCGAAAAACAACCACAAAGAGTCGTTAAACGACCAGTCACAAAACGACCACAAAGAGTTGCAAAATGACCACAAAGTAAAAAAAGGCCCCACGATACGATATTATCACGATTTTAAATACATTGAGATATATTGCAATTTATTACCTTTTTCCAACTTCCAATTAGGTCCCTAAAGTCAAACTTTGTCAACATCTGTTTATCTAAAAAGATACATTTCTCTGTTTGTTCATATCACTTTTTCAGTCCTCTATATGGTCCTGTTAAGTTTTCTAGTGGACTAAAAAAGCAATAGATTTTATTATTCTAGTACCAAAAAGTTAAAAATCCCATCTGCAATTCATCTGCTGTATCGATATTTTCCCCCACCCCTACCACAAAGAGTTGCAAAACGACCACAGAGTCACAAAACGACCACAGTCACAAAACAACCAGAAAGAGATGCAAAACGACCACAAAGAGCCATTTGATCATTTGTATAAACATTTTAAAGCTGCACACATGCTTCTTATGATAAGATGTGCTGATTGTGTGTAGATCTGTAGATGAATGTTGTCAGTAAAGCTCTAGTGTTTATTTAGTTGGTTTGTACATTTGATAAGCTACGATAAAAAACACAGGCTTTATTCAAGGTACACACACTTTATCACACATCATCAAATGACCACTCAAATATCAGATTCAGTGACAAACAAAGGGTATTTTATATGTATTTTGTGTCATGTGTGGACATGTGTTGAGAACTATCACTCTAAAATAAAACGCTGAATTTTTGCTCCTGAAAACAGACTGAAAAAGTTCATATATAGACTTTGATTTCAACTGATATTTCAGAGCTTTGTGTTTAAAGCATCATAAATGATTTGAATTTAGGACTCAACATGGAATTCACACTTTTAAATCAGATAAAGTATGAGGTGGAGGCGTTTTTTTTGTTTTTGCCTTTTTGCCAAAGCACCAGATATAATACTGTGATCTGCATACACTATTTTGAGTTCTGTGCTGGAAATGTACTTTGACCTGTTCTGAGTTAATACTTCATCCCCTTGTTTGAAAAAACAAATTAATAAAAATGTTGAGACACATACGTTTGCTCAGCAACATGACAAAAGTATCTCACTAAACATGGACCTTTAATCAACAATGATTAATGTATGTATGTATCTTGTCTCCATCAGCTGAGATAATAAAAATACATTCATGTAAGACAGTGAAGACTTAAGAGTTTTCTTTATTTAAAAAGTATTTAAGCAGTGCAATTGGCAGAACAAAGTCAAGGTACAGTACTTACAGTAAAATATCAACAGCAGACAAACACAAATACAGTGTGAAGTGAACCTGAGTTGCAGTAGGTGAGACCGTGTATGGTTGTAACACTTTTTGCTTCAGCGACTATAACTCACTGAATTTTGTAGCGAGAGTTCTCAAACTTTTATACAAAGTACCCACATTTGTTCACTACACATGGCACTTAATCCTCTACAAGAATATCACAGACCTTGTGAGTTGATGTCAAATGCATTGTGTTCCCTTGTTACAACCTACCCCAATACCGGGGTAGGTTGTAACACATATTGGGGTAGGTTGTAACAGTCAAGACAAAAGAAGCTTAAATAGATGCCACACCATATATGCTTCAAAAACAGGTAGTGATATAAAAGAACAATGTTTCTCTCTCTCTGTAACAGACTATGTCTGATGACTCGCGCATGTACAGTATGTGTATGTAAATATATCTATAGAATAAACTTACTTAACAGTATACTTACC